CCTTTGCTACTTTCTCTGGACAGATGTATGAGGCGTTGGCCGATTATGCAGCGGACATCAATAATTGTTCGCTTTCGAAAGTGGAGATGACAAACGATCAACCGCCGCGTGTGCACGCGGAGGCGGATATCACTTTCAAGAATCCGGTCGAATTGAACATGGACAAGGTGGAATTGGAGGTTCAGAAGCAAACCGGCGGTGTATACTTCCAACAACCTATAACTATAGTCCCTTCGAGTGAGTATTCAACTAATGCTTCAGCGTTTCGTTCCTTGCTTTTAATGATATTTAATTTTTGAGGTTCATCCAATGTACAATCGTGTGTTTGTGTGCATGGAATCTATGTTCTTATTGATCACATTCAAGTAAGCTGTATCGGAGGTTTGTGATGTGAACCGATTTGGTCGATGTTGTTCTTATGGTACTTGCACATGACAATACGTGTTTATGTGAAGATGTTGATAGCTCGGATTACTATACATGGCATACACAAGCGAGAGTGGAAAAGATGGATGCTATCGGCTAAGACCGTTGTCTACGTGCGCTGCTGAAATTCTCAGCTTGGTTTACTCACGTGGTTGTCGATTTGTGTAGTTTGAGATTGAGAGTTACAGTTGTTATATTTGAGCTCGAATGCGACTTGAACTGCAGCTCCCAAGTCCAAGAGTTTGCCACAAACCGTTGCTGTTCATTCTTTTATGTCTACAGTCCACGTTTATTTTGACTTATTTCTCGAACACTGTCGAATTTGTTCGTGTTACACATGGTCACTGATAATTTATAGAGTTGGAGCAATCACGTTTTCTTTTTTACAACCGTCAGAAATTAACGATGAAGTATTGTTTGAGTTTTGACCATCTTTTCTGTCTTCAATTTTTTATCGGACATGCTATGGTCAAGCCGTGAGTACTTGGCTGAATTAAGTTGGTACTTTGAAGTGATTTGCGTGAGAGCAGTTCATATTTTCAAATTTGGTAGGGTTTTGGTTTTTTTAAATTTTTTAATCTCATGTCGGTTTCATTACCTGAAATGTTTTTTCATTCTTTTCCAGATATGGGTTCTTCTACCTCTTCGACAACTAAACCAAGTGAGTTTGGTTGATGTTATTTGCCAAGCTGTTCACTCGGACTTTCCGTTTTGGTCGTTCATTTTTCGGCGTAGTTGTCGTATATTCTGTAACATTATGGGAATTTCGTAAAGGAATTTTTGTGTTTAGAGGAATTTTATTTGAAACTGTAAAGCTTGGAAGCACTGGCCAACTGTCCGGACTTGGTTGACTCTCATCAGCAGTGCGAATCTGTTGACCGAACAAGTAATAGAACCCTTCATCTCGATCATTGGGTAGCTGATCAACGTTTTTCACTTTCCCCTTTATACGATAGAGTGCATCCTATCTTTGCGGGCTTGTTGCCGGTGTCACGTTTCACTTATCTCTGCAATAGTCTCCGGGATTCGCACTCGGTTGAAAACTTTCACAACCTGGCTGCTTGTTGCACGAGAGTAATGAAGTTCTTTATATCTCATGTTTGTTGTACTCTTTTTTCTTTCTCTCATTGTATTTCGATTCCCCGCTTAAGTTACAACAACTTTTCCGGTGATATTTCCGAGTAAGTTCTCGCTGATTTGTTATGTATCTTGATGCTTTCGTGTTATTCACTGAACATTTCTTGTAATAAATTAGTAAATGGGATCCTAATATGAGTTGTACATTGCAATTCGTTCCGTAATATTTCTCTGTAATGCCTCGCGAGAATTGCTTTACCTTGCTTGAATGTGTTTTGTTTTATTAAAAATTTGTCTTACTTTTGTGTACGTAGATACGGTTCGCACGAAATGTGAGTCTGCACATTGAGTATAGTACTTTTGTATTTCACTCCCGTTTATCTTGCAATCGTTACCATTTTTGTGGTGTTCAAAATAGGCGAGTGTTCGCTCCACGAGGTTGCCTTTGTTGGTTTCATCATTAGATTCCCTCCCCCACTTTTCGGTGTACACCATACAAAATATCGGGCTTTTTTAAATTGTTGCTAAGTTTCTTGACCAAAAGTTGTGTGTGGGGGGTGCGGAACACATCCACCCACTGCGACTGCTTTCACCTGGTTTCATCTCATCATCAGTATTGTCCTTTTTATTTGCAATAATTTTGTGCACTCCGTGTCTCTGTTGTTCTACCCTATGTTTATACGTTCTTGTTTACTGCGGTGCTTCCACATTCCGTTTTCATCCCGTTTGAAACGAACCAAACAAGCAAGTATCCGGTACATTTGGTCACTTTTTCCGGTTTTTCTATCCGTTTTTAGCATACTCTTTCCCGCTCTCTGCTCCTTAGTGTTAAACTGTTTTCTCGTTTGTTTTGTATGGAATTTATCTTTCTTCCTCTTTTGGATAACTAACTTCTACTCCGAGAGAGAACTATGCAGTGATCTCTCATCTGTCATGACGGTTACTTTCACATTCCAGCGCTCTCTCCGATATGCGAAGATCCGCGAATAAGCGACGTGCTACTGTTACTGCTCTGGTTACGATTATCCTTCAATGAGCAGCGGGTAGCGAGAATGAGTTTATGACTGATATTAAGCAGAATTATTATTACAAAGTAAAATGGAACATAGAATACGGTATTATGAGTAGAATGGGGCATCAGGGGCTGACAGCAACGTGACTGTAAATGTAATACGTAATGCATAAAGAAGGGCAATCAAGAGACTGGAAGAGTCCAAAGTGTGTCGGTGAGTGAGGCCAAGTTTAAATTTCGGAATGCAGCGCAGTCGTTCGAGTCGACCAAAGAGGGGCAGAGGGCAAATGGAGTGGCTGATTACCTTCATACTATTGACCAATTGGGCGTTAGAAATCGTGTGGGGTGTGTGGGGGTGAGATGGGACAGCAACTAGCACAATCATATACGGGACTGAATCCGCAGGTCGGTCGTGTTGACTGTTCAGACTGAGGAAAACGCTCATGGATCCCACAGATAGAATGACAAACGCACAAATGTAAGGGGGATAGGAAAGGCTACTGTGAATTAAACGTAAGAAAGTACGGACGACCAGACAGGATATGATTACCAGATGTGTAAGATTAAAGACGGGACAGATGAGGAACAACAGTCGCAATTAAAATAATTGTCGTTTGATAACCGGAGGAAATCGGTAACTTACACGCCGCAAGATCTCGCTATGTAACGTAAATTCAGTGAAATGAAAGCAGATATGTTTTATTCATGCGGACTGACTATCCATCAAACTTGATCTTCACACACAATTCTTAGTTCACGCAGTCAGCCATGCGCTCATTAGACACTGGAATCCTTATAGCTCATCAGTAGTGCATATCCACCATCACCTCCGGGCTTTGAACTCCGGATTCATCGCATGGAGGGTGTGTATTGCCACTATGGAGATACGATTT